AGGAAATTTGTAAAATTTTGCCAGATTCTGATACTGTACTTAGTATTGTGCATGGTAAAGATAAATATTTGTTAAGTAAATGTATTAGTGTTATTTGGCTTATGTAAGACTATTCCCTTTTTGTAACTAATTAAGAATTGAAGACAATCTGAGGAGGAATCTTCGCAGTTTTTCAGTTATTCCTTTTAGAGGGCCCAAGAGTGTGCTCTATGCATTTTTATTTAAAAACAATTAAAAAACATTTTTTTTTAACATTTATTCATTTTTGAGACAGAGAGAGACAGAGCATGAACAGGGGAAGGTCAGAGAGAAAGGGAGACACAGAATCTGAAACAGGCTCCAGGCTCTGAGCTGTCAGCACAGAGCCCGACGCGGGACTCAAACTCACAGACCGCGAGATCATGACCTGAGCCGAAGTCTGACGCCCAACCGACTGAACCACCCAGGCGCCCCTAAAAACAATTTTTTAAAAAGAAGTAAACTCTACCCCCAATGTAGGACTTGAACCCCAAATCAAGAATTGCCTGCTCTATTGACTCAGTCAGCGAGGTACCCCCTTTATGCATTTTTTTTTTTTTTTTTTTTTTTTTTTTTTTTTTTTGGATAGAGACAGCAAGTACAGGAGGGGCTGAGGGAGAGGGAGAGAGAGAATCTTAAGCAGGCTCCACACCCAGCGTAGGGCCCGATGTAGGGCTCGATCTCACCAACAGTGAGATCATAACCTGAGCCAAAATCAAGTCAGACGCTTAACCAACTGGGCCACCCAGGCACCCCACCAGGCATTTTTAAACAGAGATGCTAGACACAGTTTGTCTTGAGTTTCTAATACACTCTGAGCCTACCAATAGCAGCCTTTCTTGTTGGACTTTGGGAAAATTTTTCACGATAATGAAAGGCATTAGAAAATGTTTTTCATTTTGTGCTCCTTCAAGACAATAAGCCTTCTATGTATATTTGGGTACCCATGATAAACTCAAACTACTGCCTTTGACAATCTTTGGTTTCACATGGTTTCATCAGGATACCCACTTATCAAAGGCAGGAAAGGTGTTACTCCTACGTTAAGTGCTGACACACAGGTTTTGCATGTTTTCAAAGTTTAAAATCAGAGGTCTTTGGGGTGCTTGGCTGGCTCAGTTGGTAGAACATCTGACTTTTGATGTCAGGGTCATGAGCTTGAGCCCCATGTTGAGTGTGAAGATTACTTAAAAAAATCTTTTATTTAAAAAAAATGTTTATTTATTTTGAGAGAGAATGAACACGAGCATGGGAGGGGCAGAGAGAGAGGGAGAGAGAATCCCAAGCAGGCTCTGCACTGTCAGCACGGAGCCCGACACAGGGCTCAATTTCACCAACTGTGAGATCATGACCTGAGCTGAAATCAAGAGTCAGACACTTAACCAACTAAGCCACCCAGGTGCCCCCAAAATAAAATCTTTTAAAAAAGCTTACAGCCAACCTGAAACTATATATAGTGATTGACGCAGATTTGTTATTAAAATATTATCTAACATGTATACTGCTTTTACAAATGAATAATGCCCTCTTAAATACATAGCATCTTTTTAAAGGTTTTTTAAAAATTATTTTTAAGTACTCTCTACACCCAATGTGAGGCTCAAACTCACAACTCCGATATCATGAGTCTCATGCTCCACTGACAGAACCAGCCAGGCACCCCTATATTATCTTTTTTAAGTCTGAGAATGTACTATGTGTCATGAAATAGTTTTGCATTTAAATACATCCTTCTAACTCAAGTGTTATTTTTTAATTTAAAAAATTTTTATTTTTAAACTATAACTTATTGTCAAGTTAGCTCACATACAGTGTACACAGTGCTCTTGGTTTCAGGGGTAGATTCCCGTGATTCATCCCTTACTTACAACACCCAGTGCTCAACCCAAGAAATGCTCTCCTCAATGCCCATCACCCATTTTCCCCTCCCCCGCCCCTTAACCCTCAGTTTGTTCTCTGTATTTAAGAGTCTCTTGTAGGTTTGCCTCCCTGTTTGAAACCATTTTTTCCCCTTCCCTTGCCTCATGGTCTTCTGTTAAGTTTCTCAAGTTCCACATATGCTAACTCAAGTGTTTTTAAAAAGTGTCTGTTTTATCACTTCATTTATAGGTAGAGCTGGTCAATAACAGATAAAATGGGATAGGGAACTCAGTTTACTCAACCTCACAGGTTGACTGAAATGAAATATGCTGGTTATACATGGTTGGATTACTGTAAACTATCAGGTAGACAATCTCTTGCTTCCTGTCTCTGCTTAAACTGCCTTTTAAAAAGGAAAATCCAGGGGTCCTAAATGGCTCAGTCGGTCGAGCATCTGACTTTTGATTTCGGCTCAGGTCATGATATCATGATCCATGGGATTGAGCCCAGCGTTGGGTTCTGTGCTGGCAGTGTGGAGCCTACTTGGGATTCTCTCTCCCTCACTCTCTCTGCCCCTCCCCCCTTCGCTCTTCCTCTCTCTCAAAATAAAAATAAATATTTAAACAATAAATAAAAAGGAAAATCCACTGGAGGTATAGAGCTCTAACTGCACATCCTACGGTACCCTGTTCAAATCCAGGTGTCTCTCAGACTCCTGGCCTTTAGAAGCACTATACTATAGTGGATACAAACTCTGATTCTGGAATTAGGCAATCTTGGGCTTTAATTTCATTTCTTAGTTATTGGAGGTAACCAAGTGACAATTCTGGCCATTGAGAAATAGGGAAAGTAACTGGGTAGGGACTTCTGGAAACCCTTTTAAATTTGTTTGTTTGTTTGTTTCTTTCTTTGTTTATTTAATGATCTCTACACCCACAACCTCGAGATCAAGAGTTGCATGCTCTTATTTTTCTTTAAGTTTATTTATTTTGAGAGACAGGGAGAAAGAGAGAATCCCAGGCAGGCTCTGCACTGTCAGTGCTGAGCCTGATGTGGGGCTCGAACTCACAAACCATGAGATCACAACCCGAGCTGAAACCAAGAGTTGGGCACTCAACTGACTAAGCCATTCAGGTGTCCCCTTTTATTTTCAAGTTTATTTATTTAAGTGGAAAACGTTTTATTTTTTTTTTTTTTAATTTTTTTTTTCAACGTTTATTTATTTTTGGGACAGAGAGAGACAGAGCATGAACGGGGGAGGGGCAGAGAGAGAGGGAGACACAGAGTGTGAAACAGGCTCCAGGCTCTGAGCCATCAGCCCAGAGCCTGATGCGGGGCTCGAACTCACGGACCGCGAGATCGTGACCTGGCTGAAGTCGGACGCTTAACCGACTGCGCCACCCAGGCGCCCCTAAGTGGAAAACGTTTTAAAGAGGGACAAAAACAAATGACATATGCTTTCTTTTCCCTTCCTTCTGTCTAGAACATGGACGTGATGCTAGAGGTGGCATAACTATTTTATAGTGACAAGGATGAAAGTCACATACAAAGTATGAAAGCCACAAGAATCCAGATCCGTGAGGACATCACGGGGCTGCATTACCAGCCTTGGACTGCTGACCTCCAGACTTTTTAATGCGAGAAAAATAAAACCAGTCACTTGTTGTTTAATTTGTTTTTTGGGTCCATTTTTTTGCAGCTTAACGTTAAGCCGACACATAAATTCACAAGATTATTTGAGGATTAAAAGAGAAAAATCTATGTGAAGAGTATAACACAGCTTCTGGCATATAGCAAGTTACCAATGAATGGCTGCTATTATTTTGGAGAGATTGGTTCACTGCCAGCAGAGAACAAAAATCAAACATAGGATAAACCATTTGGGAAGGGAAGACAAGTGCTGAATAGAAGCTAGGACAGGGTTGTAAAAAATTCACATCACATTCAGAGCCAAACCATGCACATAAGGGGTCTGACGTATAGTAGGTACTCAGTATATGTGATTTCTTTGGTGATCCTCTCTCTGAGAACACAAATTGATGTCACTTGTTCACATGAGAACCTTGACACATGAAGAAGATGAGATTAAGCAGAGATTTTTAGGAACTCTGAGTTTTATCTACACAGTTAGATTTTATTGAGGCATTCCATTCCGCGTCTCATGTACTCCTGCTTGAGCAATACTGTCAAGATATGGATTAGAGAGACACTCAAAAAAGACACTGATAAAATGCCACCAGTAACAGTGGATGACACAGATGTGGCCTGTCATTTTGATGACTCAGACACTAGGTCCTAGAGGAACAGAAATTTGCTGAATCGAGAGATCTGTTTTATTGCCAAATTGGAAGTTAATAATATTAGTCAACCCAGAGAAAAAAATACAACTGAACTAGAACACATGCGCAGAGAACTTGACACATTCAGCTTGAAAACTTTAGAAAAGTATGATGAAGAGACTGTGAAGACCTGGAATAGGATGATCAGATCAGAGGACTGTGTTAATTTATAATATATGAAAAAGGAAAAAAGGTTGATACTTGTGGTTGAGTCTCTAAAAGAATTCACTATGGAGTAGGAGCTCATTTTTAAGTCAAAAAAAGAAAGAAGCTGGAAAGTTAAAAGGACTACTAAAATTTAGCCTTTTTTTTTTTTTTTTTAAAGACTTAAATGTCAGATACTGGAATGACCTACAGAGGAGCAACTGATGAAGGGAAGGAAAATTTGTAATGATTAGCACAAAGCCACTGTTGAATGTAAGTATCAAGGGAAGGTTGAGTGAAAAGACCTAAAAGGCAACAAATCAGAGACTACAACTATCATATTTTCAAAACTGTAATTAGGTATTACCAAATAAAGTAAATAACTCTTAAGTTAGAGTGCAAAATGAAAACACCTTATTGTTTTAAAGATGCAAAAGCAAGAAAATATAACATAAGCGTATCCACATTTTAAATAGTTGTTTGTGTGGTGGGCAAATGCCATTTAAAAACACTTTCAATAGAAAAACGATTTATAAGTCAGTTTACAGAAGATCAAAAAAAAATCAATATTTAATCCCAACTTTGACTATAAATAACTAAAAAGAAACATTGTCCTCCATCCTGTTTTTGCTTCAACATCTATGTCTTCTGCTCCTTGCCTTTTGGAGAAAACATTGCATTGTAAGGCTGCCGTCTTTTGGGACGAGGACAAGGATCAAGATCTTCCTTAATGTAACCTTAAAAACAAACGACAAATTTAGAAGACTGTATTTGCACCATGCTTCTCTTTCAGCATGTACTCACTAAAACTGTCTTATTTAATGCCTTCTAAGTTTACATGAGCCTGTGATTATTAGCTGTGTGATGTTAATGCATGATTTCACTACTCAGCATCAGTCTCCTCATTGATACTAACAATAACCGCAAACATTTATCAAACGTATTGTATACATTACCTCAGCTAATGCTCACATCCCTTTGAAGTAGCTTCCACTATACCTACTTCACAGATGAGGTAATGGAGACCCAAGGAAGTTAAAGAACTTGCTCAAGTTCACAAGGCTATGAGACGGGGAAGAGCTGAGACCTTGCCCAAGATTGGTCTAACCCCCAGAACCAGAGTTCTTAAGTACTTTCCTAGTCTGCCTCCTACAGGTTGCAAATGGGAACAAATAGCTAAACAATCATAAAGAACAGTCTGCTATTATGATAATTCCAGGTGCTTATCAAAAAGACTTTCTGCAACAGCTACTTCTTTAGATGATGTGCCTGTGCCCCAGTACTCTTGAACTACCTAATTCTCCTAGTGTCTTGAGTCATGCGGTATGCGCTCTGCTATACCCCCTTAGGCCATGGTGGGCACACAATAACAGGCTCTATACAGATTGTTTAATTCTATGTGAAGACCAGGCAGTGGCATCCGTCAAAAGGAACTTAACTTGGCTTGTTAATGGGGAAAGTGAAAATATGGTAATAGCTACAGGAGACTTGGCATCTTATGGAAAAACTATCTTACCACTAAATATCTGGGGCTTCAAAGCTGTATACATTCTCAAATCATATTAAATGTAAATGCTACACTTGAAGGAATTAGTTCCAACAGCTTCCAAACAAAGGTCCTTTTCACTCAGATGTGGTTTATAAAGACCCAGCATTCTGGATAAGTGAGGTTTTAAAATCTAAAATTCAGACTAGTCACTTTAAAAAGATTCTCTTTTCTTATAGGTAATTTTTAAAAATAACTTCGGACAATTCAAGTTGCCTGATTTAAAAAAAAATTTTTTTTAATGTTTATTCAGTTTTGAGAGACAGAGCACGAGTAGGGGAAGGATAGAGAGAGGGAGACACAGAATCTGAAGCAGGCTCCAAGCTATCAGCACAGAGCCCAACATGGGGCTTGAACTCACGAAGCGCGATATTGTGACCTGAGCTAAAGTCAGACGCTTAACCGACTGAGCCACCCAGGCGCCCCAAGATTCTCTTTTTAACGATACCTTGCTGGCAACTTTTATAATGTTATTATTTTATTAAAAGTCATTTTGATGATAGGATAAAAGAGAAATTTACTTTCTGAAATTTGAATGATAAACCAGGATAAAGAATATACAACTATATTAAAGTGATTATACACAATCTCTGATTCCAGTGGCATTACTCAGAGTTAAAGTTAAGTTAAAGTTAAGCCTTTTATCTTAGGAATTTGTTTTTATGTTACAGAACTAGCCCCTGAGCAGAAGGTAAAGAAAACCATGGGAAAAAAGTCTAATGTTTAGACTTGGGTATATACACTATTTCAAAAAAACTAATTCCAAAATATTATAACCTGTATTCTCACCTCTTTCCATACATGTCTGAGTGGAAGGAAAACCAACTTCCCAGAAATTCTCTGGTGTGTTGGGTGGAATGTAGCGGAATCGGTGTCTTGAGCAGGAAGCCAGCTTCTTTTCTCTTTCTTCTGCTGGAATATCTGCATAATACTGATAATAAAAACTGGTAAGTTTTTCACTTAGAAATAATTCATGGACTATTATGCTTATTGATTATAAACTAGAAGCTAAGAAAGCTGTCAAAGTATTCAGCATGCTAGGGAACAACACTCACTGAAGACAGTATTAGTAATTAATACTAATAGCACTAATGCTGGTCTGTGAAATGTTCGCTTCACAAATGAGAAAAGGAGCTTGGAGCTTGTATCACAATGTGAACCAATATGATGCTTTTTTCATCAATAAAGTCTTATAATACAAAACCAAAAACAAAACCCGCCAGCTTAACTTTACAGTGTGCTTCATGGCGTAGCCGATCTATATGGTGCAACGTCAACTTTGTTAGGCCAGCAACAAAACTGCATTTTGGCACTTTTCTCAGTTGTTATTTGGATATAACATGTATGTTTTGAAGTAATTTTCTTATTTAGGTTTTTACAAATACAAGTTCAGCTATGAATGCTGCAGTCTTCAGGACTTCCCCGCTTAAACTATATTTTTCAATTAGGATCAAAGACATAATTATTTCTTGCAACTGCAACCCAAACAACTTGAACTTCATGAAAACAAGGTTAAAACTTGTATGTAAAAAATGTACAGGTCTTTCAAAAACAAAGCAGTAGTGTAAAGTGTAATAGAACACACAACAGGATCACACAATCCAGCCAATCCCACTTTGTATTTGAGAAACTGAAAACCAAATTGGTAATTCTACTGGTGATATCATCTGTTGAAAGTGGCAGACTCAGGACTAGAACTTAAGACTGAAGTAAAGATTGTAAATACATTTTTCTTTTACACAAATTAAAGGCTTCTGAGTACTTCTGAAACAACTATTTTGGGGACTACCTTTTTCATCTTTCTCCCTGACAAGCCTTTGTTACCTGAGCTTGGACACTGGCGTGGGATGACCTCAGAGAATCACGGTTATCAATCAATTTATAGAAACATTGCCACCAAATTACAAACATACACAAAAGCACCAGTAGGCTGGTGTAGCTATAACACAGCAAGCAACTGGGAGGGTGGTGACCAAAATCAGAGAGGAAGTGGGGTGCCAGAGTTTGCTGTCCTTGATAAGAATGCTGGATCTTATCTAGTTCTTTGTGAGGTGGGAAAACATTTAAGCATTTCAGGTAGAGAAATGACAAGTTTTAATTTTTATTCTAAAAAGATCACTAGGGGAAAAAAAAAAAGACCATTCAATGTTGTGTTAAAAGTACACTGGGAAGACAGAAATTAAGGAGATGCCTGTCCTATCCAAGCCACCCTGTGCTGATGCTCTCAGGCCCAGCCCTGTCCTGCCCCAACACCCTACATTCCTGATTCTCTCTCCCCTCTGGCACACAGGCCAGGAACTGAAGCACTTAGTGCTGACATAAAAAAGACCTTTAATCCCAGGCAATTTCCCCACTGGGGGCAATAAAATCATTAACATCTCAAAAATACCTTGCTTTAAAAGAAAGAAACATTGTGAAGAGACCAGAATAAAAAAGAAAAATGGGGACAGAAGTATATGGGAATTCTCTGTACTTTCTGCTCGTTTGCTGTGAATCTAACACTGCTTTCTAAAAACTGTTGACTAGTTAAAACAAAACAACACAAGGAAAAAGCACTTAGAAGTTATTTCAATAGTCCAGGCGAGATGAAATGGTGCCTTCGTCCATGGGGTTAGCGGTGGTGACAGTAAGTGGGTGGAAATGGAATACACTTTGAAGGTAGAATTGATAGGATTTGCTGATAGATCTGTTACTGAGAAATGCAAGAAAAGAACAGAGGGTAACTATAAGAGCTTTGGTTTAAGCAGCTAGAAGAATGGACATACAAGAGACTCAAGTGAGGTTTGGGAATCAGAGGTGGAAACGGTTTGCTTTCGGCAGGCCGAAACTTGACATGATTATAATATCTCCACATGTGTATTACATATTCCACAGGTGGAAGACACACTGGGACACATTTAGGAACCGTATGCATATAGATAGTATTTAAATACACAGGACTGGTAATTTGACTCCTGGTCATGAGAGAGTAACAGGGAACAGACTTATCTCCTATCTTAAACAAGAAAAAAATTGGAATTAAATGTATGAGACAGTAGTTTTTAGAGACTGAATAACAGCACAAGCAATGATTCCTGAAAGAAGGAAAGCAAATTAAGTGTTTCTAACACAAGAGCTTTTTTTCTAACTGGTAGTGTAAGAGTCGTGGTTATAACTAAAAATTGGGGATTTGCATAGTACAGACCATGCTCTTTAGTTAAGAAATCATGATATGTTCAATTTGTGTTATGAAAACCCATGATACAGATTTTGCTTGCATTGCCAAACTGCCTTCCAAAATAGCGATCTCAATTTACACTCCCACTGGTAGTTAGAGCCTATTTCTCACCAAATGCTTACCTGCACTACAAGCTACCCATATATAACTTTAATCTGCTTGGTTATCAAATTTTCTAGCCCACAGCTGTTAAAAAGAAAATTTAAAGGGGGAACTAAATCGTTAGAGGCAGGCATCTAATACCTAACAGATAGCAAGGGAAGAAATTAAAGAAGCATGTTTCAAGAAAACACAGAACCTGCCTGAGAGATATCTGGTGACAGGAGGATTAGTACCACCTACTTTAATAGTCCAAGACAGACAATGTATAAGAGGAAAACATACTTGTGCTATAAGGATGAAATAGAGCCTGTTCATCACAATTTGTTTAAGAAGGAATATTTGGAGAAAAAGTTAAGAGCTTATGGCCATACCACTTATTGAGAAAAAAACATGAATATATCTCATTTCCTGAGAGTGCTGGGGTAAGTAATAAACGTTAAAGTTTCCTGCTAAAATACCAAGGGGCGCCTGAGTGGCTCAGTCAGTTGGGCGTCTGAGTTTGGCTCAGGTCATGATCTCACGGTTCGTGAGTTTGAGTCCTGCGTCGGGATCTGTGCTGACAGCTGGAGCCTGCTTCGGATTCTGTGTCTCCCTCTCTCTCTCTGCCCCTCCCCCACTAGTGCTCTGTTTCTCAAATATAAATAAATGTAAAAAAAAATTTTTTTAAATAAAATATCAGAAATATCCCCAAATAGTTTATATGTAAGAGCCTTTGCTGTAACATAACACCAGGAGAAAAAATTAAAACAAATACAGATAAACACAGGAAAGAAAAATGGCACAAATGTCTTAAGCTGGTAAAAAGAACTAGGGCTTAGGCTCCAGATTCACTTGATGAAAACTTTAGAGATGTTGAGGGCTTTCATTTTCATCTATTTATATCTTTCAGGTCACAACGAGTATGCTCTTTAATTATTTATCCTGCTATTCCTGGCTCAAACTAGGTTTCTAGATTTTTATCTATGATTTTTAAATCATGCATTTATAATCTTAAAGCCATAGTAAAGAAAAAAAAAAAACCCGCCAGACAGTCTTGACATTAGTACTTACAATTTCGCATTCCTTACATGTGTGTCCAAGCAATTTTCTTCTCTCTTCTTTTTTCCGAACTACCTCAATATGAGGAAAATTTTGTAAGCTAGTCTCTCTGGGAGAAAAACGAATTAAATTTAAAAATTAATCCATTTGTTACTACAAAGATCTTTGGTTTAGATTTTTAATTAACAAAGGTGAAGGCCCAGATGAGAAATAATCCCAAAACATTCACTCATTTTATTTGAAATGTTTATTCAGTATGTTAGAAAATGATTTTTTCATGCATTCTTCATTAAATACTTATTAGGTGCCTACTACTTGTCAGGTATTTTTATGTATATTGTTCTCTAACTGAAAAAATAGAACTATTACTTCCTATTTTTGCCTGAAAATTTGTCTGATTGGCTGAAAATAATACATAAAATAACTTAATTTAAAAAGGAATATTGTATTATTAAAGTCAGGAACTGGTATTCTATAACATAACCAAGAAAGAATAACTACCTCTGTTAACTCAGTTTTTCTTAAAGAACCTGTATTTCTGGGCTAACCTACTCCCCTCAAAAAAAAGATTCATCTGTTTACATGTCATCTGTCATTTTCTCCAAAAATTTATTTTGCTGCCTACATTCACCCTGGATTCTTCAAAATGTTAGGAACAATTATTTGCCCTTGTCCTTAAATGGATCAGATCCTATTGAGAACTACTGGAAACCTAGGAAAGGTCAAAGCCACTGAGGTATTAATGAGGTATGGAGTGCTCTGGGAAGAAAAAGCACATTTTTTTTTAGCACAGAACTTTTTAATATACTTGTATCCTGCTTTAAGTTTTAAAGCCCAATATAGAAAAGTCCAAACTTCTAAAATAGGTAAATGATGCCTCAAGTGATGGTACATGTAATTGTTTATATTAAAGGCATCCCCGGTGAGCTTAAACAGTCTGACTCACAAAAACTAATTTCTAAAATGACTTGTTGGTAACATACCCACTTTGAGGTATTTTGATCCTAAGCCCCTCTACTTGGCAAGCACTTTCCGTCAAAAGAAAGCTTTAATCCCTCTATGTCAAAGTATGAGGTTATCGGTCCTTTGGGTCCTTAAACCCAAGAACTCTCAACCTTAGAGCAATCTGTAAATGAAAAGGACAGATAAAAATTGCTTTCTTTCAAACAGCTTATGGAATTTTAAAAGCTTATGTAGAGTACTTTCTGGCCATATCAGATCCTCTCCTCTGAGTATTGTCTATCCTGCTTCTATAGTGTGTTATAATGTTGCAGGGAATCTACTAGTAGACTGGCATCTGTAGCAGACCTTAAAGCATCACCTAAAAGATTACTAAGCTTCTTGTCCCTCATGCAACACAACCCATCTTCCCAGGGTTTGCTAGTATTGTCTGTGGGGAAAGAAACAATGCTGACTCTGAGACTTTCACCCTACCCATGCATCACACCCACCTCCTGCATTTCCAGCTATCTAATGGTTTCAGCATAAATAAAACTACTCATATTTATTTGAAATGACAGTTCTTCCTTTGCAATCCTACTTCAAGGAGTCTATCCCAAAGACACACAAAATTATGAAAAGAGAATGTACAATGTTATTCAATGCAGCATTCTGTTAGCATAACTGTAAACACCCCAAATACCCATTACTAAGGAATCAACTATGGTACCATCAATAAAGTACCATTATACTAAAAAAAGTAACTAAAAAAAGAAATGAAGAATATCACTATATGCTATTTCTATTTATTCATTTTAATGTTTTGAGAGACAGAGCATCAGCGGGAAGGGGCAGAGGGAGGGAGACACAGAATCCGAAGCAGGCTCCAGGTTCCGAGATGTCAGCACAGAGCCTGATGCGGGGCTTGAATTCAAGAACCATGAGATCATGACCTGAGCCGAAGTTGGGCGCTTAACCGACTGAGCCACCCAGGTGCCCCCACTATATGCTATTATGAGTGATTTCTAGGATACACACTTAAATGAAAAAAGCAAAAGCAGAATAGAGAAAAGTATATATAGCATTCTACCATTTGTCTAAGGGGAAAGAGAATGATAATATATTTCTGTATAGATATTTACTTTTATTTTTTAAAATGGATTGAAAACCATAATTTTTAACAAATGGGATAGGGAGCTAACAGGTAAAGGGGACAATGTTAGAAGCCAGACTTATCTGAATATACCTTGTCTGATACTGCGTACACAGTTTACATAACTTAAAAAAAGAATTAAAAATAAAAAGAAAAATAATTCCTAAAAATTCAAAAGCAAAATAAAACAAACCTAGACAATGAGTTGGTGGTATACCTACACAAAAAATAATTATTCCAAATGGCTTTAAAATATGGTGACTGGACATTTATAATAGACATATTTTTTCATTTTTAGAATTTATATTGTATGAAAAGATGGCAGATAACACGATACAGCTTAAGAACAAAAAAACCCACAAAGACATGTTAAGCCATTTTCATAAATCATATTATCGATGATTATTTATATTATTCTGAGACTGCTCTAAATATTAAAGAATAAAGTTAAAGAAGAAATTATGTTGGTAGCACTGAAAAGCGAAATTTTCAGGAAAGGGAAAGTAGATACAGATGTAAGAAGAGATTACATAAAAATCCTGTAGTTCTGAACCTGAAATGGAGCTATTGGTGTGAAAAAGTATAGTTATCTTAAAAAAACAAAATGAAACAAAAACCTTATTCCTAATTCTGTCCACCACCTAAAAGATCTACAAACAATGACTAACTGTAGCAATGAGCAACACTAGTGGTTACACTAAATTTGTTTTTCACTAAAAGAAACCAGGGCTCCTGAAAAAATGGCAGATTCCAGGGTTCTCTAGGAAGAGAGCCTAGAACATGATATATCATACCAGAAGCAAGCAAGCTAGGAAAGACTGGGGTAGTGCTCATTCAAAGAGACTGGGGCCAAGATGTGGCAATACAATCTGAGTATCAATAAGTGTAAGAGACTGAAACACATGAAATATTTAAATCCATGAGTTCATAATGACACCACAAATAAAAACTCCCTAGTCATGTTTGGGATGCTAGGGTACTATTTCTTTGGAGAACTGGTAAATAAAGGAAAAGAATTCAGCATTTAGCAATAAAACGACAGCTCTTATCTGTTAGAGTCTTACAGGTATCAATAAAAACTTATCTTAGCCTGTCAGATCTCTAAAATTCTCAACAGAAATCAAAATACAGGGGCGCCTGGCTGGCTCAGTCAGAGGAGCATGCAACTCTTGATCTTGGTTATCTTACTCATTTTTTTTTAAATTTTATTCAGTATGTTAGAAATGATTTTTTTCACAGCATTCTTCATTAAATACCCCTTATTAGGTGCCTACTACTTGTCAGTGGTATTTTTAATATTGTTCTCTAACTGCAAAAGTAGAACTATTACTTTCTATTTTTGCCTGAATGTATGTCGCCATTTGACTAAATAATACATCAAAATAACTTAATTTAAAGGAATATTGTATTATTAAAGTTTGGAACTGGTATAACATAACAAGAAAAGAATAAATATACCTGTTAACCGTTTTTCTTAAAGAACCTGTATCTTCTGGGCTCAACTACTTTACCCTCAAAAAAAAGATTCATCTGTTTACATGTCATCTGTCATTTCTCCAAAAATTTATTTTGCTGCCTAATAATTCCCTGGATTTCTTCAAAATGTTAGAACAATTATTTCCTTGTCCTTAAAATGGATCAGATCCTATTGAGAACTACTGGAAACCAGAAAGGTCAAAGCCACTGAGGTACTAACTGAGGTAGTGCTGGGAAGAAAAAGCACATTTTTTTAGCACAGAACTTTAATATACTTGGTATCCTGCTTTTAAGTTTTAAAGCCCAATATAGAAAAGTCCAAACTTCTAAAAATAGGTAAAATGATGCCTCAAGTGATGGTACATGTAATTGTTATATTAAAGGATCCCGCGTGAGCTTAAACATCTGACCTACAAAACTAATTTCTTAAAATGACTTGTTGAATCTATACTTTGAGGTATTTTGATCCTAAGCCCCTCATGGTTGGCAAGCATCTTCCTGCAAAAGAAAGTTAACTCTATATCAAAGTATGAGGTTATCGGTCCTTGAGTCCCTTAAACCCAAGAACTTCTAACCTTAGAGCACCTGTAAATGAAAGCGACAGATAAAATTGCTTTCTTTTCAACAGCTGGAAATTTTAAAAGCTTATGTGAGTATTCTGGCCATATCAGATCCTCTCCTCCTGAGTATCTATCCTGCTTCTATAGTGTGTGTTATAATGTTGCAGGAACTCCAGTAGATCATGACATTGTAGCAGACCTATAGCATCACTCTAAAAGATTTACTTGGGCTTTGTCTCATGCAACACAACCCATCTTCCCAGGGTTTGCTAGTATTGTCTCCCGTGGGGAAGAAACAGCTGGACTCTGTAGACTTTCACCCCACCTCCATGCATCATACCCACCTCCTGCATTTAAGCTATCTTAATCGTCGCATAAATAAAACTCTATATTTATTTGAAAATGACAGTTCTTCCTTTGCAATCCTACTGCAAGAGCTTCTAAAGAAAGCAAAATTATGAAAAGAGAACGACAAGTGTTATTCAATGCAGCATTCTTGTTAGCATAAACAAGTAAACACCCCAAATACCCATTACTAAGGGATCAAATCTATGGTACCATCAATAAAGTACCTGTAATATAAAAAAAAAGTAACTAAAAAAGAAATGAAGAATATCACTATATGCTATTTTTATTCATTTTAATGCTTTTGAGAGACAGAGACACATGAATGCGGCAGAGGAGGGAGAGACAGAACCGGAAGCAGGCCCAGGTTCCCAGATGCACGCACAGAGCCTGATGCGGGCTTGAATTCAAGAACCATGGAAGATCACACCTGCGCTGGGGTTAACCCGTAATTACTGAGCCACCCGGTGCCTCCACCTTATATGCTATTATGAGGATTTCTAGATACAACACTTAAATGAAAAAGCAAAGCAGAATAGAGAAAAAGTATATATAGCATCTCTACATCAGGAAAAATATAATTTTATAGTATCTTTTTTAAAGGGAAACATACTTTGGCCCAATGGAGGGAGCTGAATGGTGAGGACATTGGAGCTCTATCGTATACCTTGTCGACACGTTTACCAGTGTTCTGACCACCCAACAAAACATGACCATAACCAAAAAAAAAGGGCCTAAAATTCCTAAAAATCAAAATAAAACAAACCTAGACGAAATGAGTTGGTGGTATACTCTAAAAAAAATAATATTCAAATGATTTGAAAATATGGTGACTGACATTTATAATCAGACATATTTTTTCATTTTAGAATTTATGAGAATAGAAAGATGGCAGATGTAACACGAACAGCTTTAAGAACAAAAAACCACACAAAGACATGTTAAAAGCTTTATAGAATGTATTTTCATAACTCATATTATCGATAGATTATTTACTATATTATTCTGAGACTCTCTAAATATTAGAAGAATAATCTAAAGAAGAAATATAAGTGTGGTAGCAACAGAAAACGAAAATTTTCAGGAAAGGGAAAGTAGATACAGATGTAAAGAAGACATTACATAAAAACTCTAGTTCCTTGAACCTGAAATGGAGCTAAGGAAAAAAGAGCAGTTATCTTAAAAAACAAATGAAACAAAAAACCTTATTCTAATCTGTCCACCACCTAAAAGATACAAACAATGACTAACCGTAGCAATGAGCAACACTAGTGGTTACACCCTAATTTGTTTTTCACTTTAAAAGAAACCAGGGTTCTGCTGGAAAATGGCAGATTCCAGGGTTTCCTCAGGAGAAGGGAGCTCTAACTTATGATATATATCATACAAACAAGCAAGCTTAGAAAGACTGGGGTAGTGCTCTTACAAAGAGACTGGAGCCAAGATGTGGCAATACAATCTGAGTATCAGCCATAGTAAAGAGACTGAAACATACGAGAAATATTTAAACATCATGAGTAACTATAATGACAATTCTATATAAATAAAACTCTAGTCAGTTTGGGATGCTATAGGAAATTATTTCTGAAAGAACTGTAAATGGCAGACTCAGCATTTAGCAATAAAGACTAGTTATTATCTGTTAGAGTCTACAGGTATCAATAAAACTTATCTTAGCCTGTCAGATCTCTAAAAATTTCAACAGAAATCAAAATACAGGGCTACATGGCTTGGTCTTAGTTTAGAGGAGATGCAACTTGATCTTGGGGTCAGAGTCTTGATTCAGCCCCATATTAGGCAGATTACCACAAAAAAAAAAAAAAAAACAAAAAAAAAACTAAAAAAAAAACTTAAGAAAAAAAAGCATGGGGTGCCTGGGTAGCTCCAGTCGGGTTGAGCATCCAGTTCTTGATTCTTGGCCAATGCCACAGCCCTCACTTCCAGGAGTTCAAGCCCCATGTTGTATACTCAGTGCAGATCCTGCCTGGGATTCTCTCTCTCCTTCTCTCTCTGCTCCTCCCCTGCTTGTGCTTGCTCTTGCTCTCAAAATAAATAAATAAACATTAAAAAACACCATTAAAAATAACAGGTACTGGGTGCTTTGCGAGGTGAGGTTAGCCGTCCTCACTTCAGCCAGGTCACCATCTCCTCGTGAGTCGAGGCCCCGCCAGGTCTGCCCCTGATGGCTTAGGAGCCTGGAGCGTCTCAGCCGATTTCTGTGCTCTCCTCTCTGCCCCTCCCCGCCGTGCGTGCCTGCTCTCTCTGTCCCAAAAAAATAAATGAAATTG